CTGGGGGCTGACTGAGCTCCCCGCCGCATGCTCTCCTTCTCGTGTAAACAAATCTTTTTTTTTTTTTTTTTTAGAAAGAGATTCTAGAGCTAGGGGGGTCTTATTTTTCGAATCCTCTGGCTCTGGACGAATATTTGAAAATGAGAAGGAAAAGTGACATAAGATACTGGTAGAAGGAAGTATATTGATTGTTAAGATGTTTCTCCGGTTCTTACGGTGGCGCCGGTCGGGGGGAGGGGGAGGGGGGGAGGGAGAGGAAAGCGGAGAAGGGATGGGGAGAAGAGGAGGAGAGAGAAAGGGAGGAGAAGGGGAGAAGAAGAGGAGAGAGAAAGGGAGGAGAAGGGAAGAGAAGGAGGAGGAGAGAGAAAGGGAAGAGACGGGAAGAGAAGAAGGAGGAGAGAGAAAGGGAGGAGAAGGGAAGAGAAGGAGGAGGAGAGAGAAAGGGAAGGGAAGGAGGAGGAGGGACAAAGAGAAAGTGCAGCCGAATGTGTATGGGAGAAGGAAAAGGGAAGAAGGAGAAGAGCGAGATGATGGAAAGAAAAGAGGGGAAGGGGAAGCATCCTAAGAAAGAGAAAGAGGAGAAAGAAGGCTGGAGGATGAAGTAAAGAAAAAGGGAAGGGCGGAGGACGATAAAGAAAAAGGGAAGGGCGGAGGACGATAAAGAAAAAGGGAAGGGCAGAGGACGATAAAGAAAAAAAGGAAGAGGAGAGACGAGAAGAGCGGCTAGTGGTTAATATTTTCATGGAAAATAAATTAAATAATTGAGCCAGGGTAATAACTGAATACTAAATTAGCTAATGTAAAAACATGATAAAGTGATCATACTCGGTCGCGGTTATTTGCTACAGATGAGGAAGAGGGAAACGAGAGTAAATAAGAGACGAACGCAAAGAAAAGAAAAGTAGAAGTAGAAGAAAAGAAACAATAGGAGAATAATAGATAAGAAGACAGAGGAAAAAGAGGGTAAAAATATGAAAAAAAAGGGAAAGGGAGAGATAAAAAAGGATGGGGAGAAAGAGGAGAATGATAAAATAGAAGAGAAAAGAGAAAAGAGGGCAAAAGAGCCTTGAAATACAGTGTAGGAGATCCGTAAGTGTTCACTCTCGAGTCCTACATGTACACACACACTTATGCTCTGAAGTGCATTTGCGCTTTCTCTCTTTCGTTATCTCCTCATTCCTCTCTCTCCCTCCTCCCTCTATCCTTCTCTCACTTTTGCTATCGCTGTCACTCTCACTCTCTCTCTCGCGCGCGCGCCTTTCTCCCTCTCTCTCTCTCTCTCTCTCTTTCTCTCTCTCTCTCTCTCTCTCTCTCTCTCTCTCTCTCTCTCTCTCTCTCTCTCTCTCTCTCTCTCTCTCCCTCTCTCCCTCTCCCTCTCCCTCTCCCTCTCCCTCTCCCTCTCCCTCTCCCTCCCTCTTCCTCTCCCTCCCTCTCCCCCTCCCTCTCCCTCTCCGCCCATTTCCTTCGCCCTCGCACATGGCTCTCAGCTTACACCTTCAACGCAGCTTCGCCTGAACACTCTCTGCTGTTTCTGTTGCCGATAAAAAGTAATCTATATTCCACATTATTTATATTCCGATATTCTCTGAACAGACCTCTCTTGTATTCCCCCAAAGCAGATAAATGTGTATGTGTGGTTTTAAATAATTACATGCACACACATACATATAGATGTATGTGTGTGTGTGTGTGTGTGTGTGTGTGCACACACATATATATATGCATATACGTTTGTGAGTGTACTCACACACAGAAATATGTATATATGTGCATGTAAGAATATATATATATATATATATATATATATATATATATATATATATATATATATATATATATACATATATATACACATATACATACATATATATATGTATGTATATATATATGTGTGTGTGTGTGTGTGTGTGTGTGTGTGTGTGTGTGTGTGTGTGTGTGTGTGTGTGTGTGTGTGTGTGTGTGTGTGTGTGTGTGTGTAATCATATATATATACATATATATTCATTTATATGTATGATGTAATGTCTGTGTGTAAATAATACATGCATTCAACTGCGCACGCAAACTCACACATACGTGTATATATGTGCGTGCGGGCGCGCGTGTGTGTGTGTGCTGCGCGTTGCTAAATTTGTTTTGTGCATTCAAATCTACCCCCACATTAATTCATTCATTCCATCTAACGTTCATTACCTCATCCCTTTTTTCAAGCCCGGCTTCCCCATGTTTCATATCAGTCACCTTGTCCTTCCTGTCAGCGACTCTCCGCGACATTTCCCATTAGTGAAAAGCAACCTTCTTTAAGCGCGGTGGCCTGCGGTTAGAACACGAAAGCACAAACTTAATGAAATAGTCCAGTAAAGTGGCATTGCGCGAGCGAGAGAGAGAGAGACAACCACGCATCGTGCTCGTCATATGGTTGATGAAGCCTAGTTTAAGAGGGACGGCGAGACAGACACAAGCATCACCGCCTACGCCTCACATGTGCACGCTTACTCATAATCTCCTCATCCCACTGCACATGTTCCTATGAGTAAAGAGATCTTAACCCGAGTCAAAAAAAAAAGAAAAAGAAAAAGAAATTACCCACATATGCAACGAGATTCAAAGATTTGCGTAAAGAATAGAGCTTACGTTATATGTAGATGCAAATGCGCATGTAATCTATCTCTGTCATATAGGAATTAGCTGCACCTATATTAAAAGCACACGCGCAAATGTAACCTCGAAACATGTATATTTATAGCTCTAACCGCAAACACTTGGAGCCTCTACAGCTGTAACTGCTACAACAAATGTTCGCTCACATGCTGACGTTCCGAAAGACCTTGAAACCAATAACCCATATTCTATTACAACAAAAAAATCACTATCCTTGTATCCCCTTTAAGTAAGATATCCATGAAACTGTAACATAGCAGTAGCAGCCGATCAATTCCAGGAGAGAGAGAGAGAGAGAGAGAGAGAGAGAGAGAGAGAGAGAGAGAGAGAGAGAGAGAGAGAGAGAGAGAGAGAGAGAGAGAGAGAGAGAGAGAGTGAAAATGAATCACCTGCTTGCAATCGACCTCCCGACCGAGGCTCCATTTAGGCCTAAAACTTTCTCCAATCAATAAAGCGAGAGATGGACGTGACGGTGCATCGTGACGCCAGAGTGACTTACCGTTAGCGCCGCCCGACCTTTTCTCGAAGGAGCAACGAACGAACGGACTAATTAATGCCGGATGTCTCTGTTTTCCGCCTCTTCTCGGCTGTATCATCATCATCCTTTTAATGACGACATGAACAGATGGATCCAGAGATAAGAACATCAGTTGGTGCAGAGATGAAAAATACCAAAGTGAGGGGGAGAAAAGAGAAAATGTGGAAATTAGGGAGAGAGAGAAAACAAGGCAGAGAGATCAGAGTGTCGGGAGGGAGCCGGGAGTCAGGGACAGAGGAGAGGAAGTGAGCCAGGGACAATAGGAAGGGGAAGGGGAAGGGGGCCGGTCAGGGTAATGGAATGGGGAATGTAAAAGAACAAAGAAAATGAGAGGCAGGAACAAAATAAACAAAGAGAATGACCAAAATAAAGGATGGATGTCATGGAGACAGTTATATTACTCAGGTACAGCGCGTAGCCCGATGCATTGTGGAATTCCTTCTTTAGTTATGCAAACCAAGTTTTCTCGAATCACATACATTCAACAATGCTCAATAGCCGAGTCTTTTAAAAGTAGATATCCTACATATCATATTCACTTCATTAAACATACAATTCTAGATCATGGACGTGATATAAAAACAGATATATAGTGCTTCTCCAAGTTTCTTTTTGACTATGTGTGAATGACAGACAGACAGACAGAACCTATGACTCGTCGATAATAAATGAATTATCTTGGACGATTCCGGTAAAAGAATCCACATCAATGATTCTTACTCACCATGACCTGGATTTGCAACCCTTCACTATAAGCTTACTGGATTATCGACAACGAGCACAGGGGGGAAATTCTAAACACCAACGTGCATAGAAAAAAACAGCAACGTAAGTAACTCTATAAAGGAACAACGGAATATCGATATTTAAAACAAGAGAGGAGGCAGAGAGCGGCGATCCATCTAATAAACAAAGCACACGGATGAGAGAAGTGGTGCGTCAGGTGTTCTTGATACATCACACACAGCATAGGTATTCCTCCCCCCCCCCCCCCTCTCTCTCGCCACCTTCCCTTCCTTCACTACCACTCGCACACAGGGACCTCACACCCCCTCCCATCCCCCTCGCACACTCAGGTACCTCTCACCTCCCCCTCCCCTCCCCTCCCCTCCCCTCACCCACTACCACTAACACACAGGGACCTCTTACCCTCCCACCTCCTCTTCCCTTCTGCCACTACCACTAACATACAGGGACCTCCCCTCCCATCCCCACTAACACACAGGAACCTCCAACCCCTCCCACCTCCCATTCCCCTCCCCCACTACCACTAACACACTGGGACCTCCCATTCTCCCACCTCCCTCTCCCGTCCCCACTAACACACAGGAACCTCCTCATCCCTTCCCCCACTACCACTAACACACAGGGACCTCCCACCCATCCTACCTCCCCCACCCCCCTGCAGTACCACTTATAGGTACCTCCCCTCTCCCCCCACCAACACATACACTATAAATCTAGGACATTCTGGGTTATAGTAAGGTTTCTGCATCGTGAGACTGGGTATGAGATTCAAGGGCGGCCCCCTGGGCAAGGGCAAGGGGAATATGACCCGTAGTTGCAGAGTGAGGTCAGCCCCAGGCCATAGGGGCCCGCTCCCGGCGACCACGCCCCTAGGCAGGCAAAGGGAGGAATGACCCAGTGTCTCGAGGAACAGGCAGAACGAGTCCAGGCCTCCTCCAAACAACACCTTCCCCTTCTGGCCTCTGGACCTCCAGATAATATAGTGGATCTCTATATAAATTGAATTAGAGACCATTATACTGGGGTGAAGGACCCGGTCTCTCTATAGATTATT